CAGAATGTCATGTTTTATTGCTTATATGTAATTGCACTTTAATAATTAGAATATATCATATTTCCATTAATATGAAAGTATATTGTGCATTCTATAAATGTTTTTAAAAAGCAAAAGACTTGATATATATATTTTTTTTTTTTACCAGAGATCCAAAGATATTTTTAATGAAAATACTGTTCGTTTGTGTTTTTATAACACAGTGTTTCATATTAAAGTACAAATCTGATTATTATCAGAACATAAGAAAATGCGTTTATAGATATCTTTGGAAATTAATTCTTATAAAGAGTTCTGTAAAAGCTTGCTACAATATACTTTAAATAAGCTCGCATTTTTGTTATCACATACAAACACACACAAATTTTGTCAAATGGAATTTGTGTGTTCTTCATTATTAATATTAAATATAAAATAAATGTATTTAAAATTTTTGACATGAGGAATTATTATTGTATACCCTGCTATTCAGATTAGCATGCTCATTTGGGTGTTATACTCACAACATTCAGCCATTGTACTCTTTAGCTTTCTTCTGGTGTCTGCTATAATTAATATATTTTTTATTCCATCTACAAAGATAGATTGTTCCCAGTTAGTTTTTCCACACTTAGAAGATATTTCATATTGGTCAATTACGTCATTGGGTTTTCCAAGAGACACATGATCAACTGGATTAAATTGTTGGTTCCTTAGCAATTGTGAGTAAATTGTTTTGAGTCTGGTAGTGCTGAAAAGTTACATACTCTGGTTCAATGGAAAATGATGACCAGTAATGCAAACATGAATAAACTGAGTATTAACTAATATGAAATGACCGCTAGACATGGAAAGTAGAATAAGAGCAATCTAAATAAAGAGTTTGGTTCAAAATAACACACTTGAAGAAGGCTGAAAAGAACAACAGCCAAAACATAACATAATAAAATGAGTATTCAGGACCAAAAAGCAATGTATACGTATAATGATAAATGTATTGAACTTATTTGGAAACCTTTCATCTCATAATTGGTAAAAAAAAAAAAAAAATCGTTATATTTGATTATACAATTTTTGTAATAATATTTGTATCTTGTGTATGACGAACTGAAAAACTCACTTTTTAAATTGTAAAAACAACGCTTCATAAAAACAAATTACAAAATATTTTTCATGAAATTTATCATTCTATTTCATTACAGAATTGTTATTCTTCTGCTTTATTTATACGTCATTTTTTATTATTTGGTAAAGATCCATTTTTTGTGTTTGGATGATTTGTCATAGTCACATGTATCTTTGTATGTTGTCTTCAAGAGAACCCTCTCTTGTTCACTTATCAAGCATTTGTTGCTTCTCTCATAATTCCCCATGGTTTTCTTTGTGTTTATGTTTGAAGCCTGTATATAGGTTAATTTCCATTTGTAACAAAAATCGTCTCTTCTGCTTTTGTGATTCAGCATTCATAAGCAGTAATAACAAAAATACCAAGTGTTTGTTTGAAGTACCCAACATGCAAAGAAAAATATTGCTTAATCTATTTGTGGATGGTTAATAACTGAAGCGATATTTTATATTCATTATACTTGTTAAATGTACTCAGTGACAAAAATGTGCATGTTTACAATTGATAGATGCATACATGTGATCTAACTTTTGAATAGAAATTCATATAACTAATTCACAAAATGTGCACAAATTGTTAGCTGTATTTTCAGCAAATGGAAATCAACTTTCATTCAGACGCATAAAATATGACATTTTATTACAGTATTATCAAAAATATGACAAAACATTATCAACATTTGCTTTTTTGAGAATTCAGACGATTACATACCTCACTTTTACCTGTATTACTTCAATTAATGTTAACTAAACACTCATTATTTTTCAGAAATACTGTTTCTGACAGTTACACTTTTTATATTTTTAAGTAATGTTCATTTTTAATGTTTTATTACTGCAAAAATGTTGGCAATTTTGAATTTTTATCAAAAAACAATTGCATTAAAACATTAGGTTGGTTAAAAATTTTGTTCATATTTTTTGTTTAAATTTTTTAAATATTTGTATTTAATTTTAACTATTCAAAAAGATTACTGTTTATTGTATTGTAAGAGCTGCCATATCAAAATTAGTGTATTTATGTTAATTGAAGAGGCTTATGGCTGTATCACATTGAAACATTGGTTCTTGTACAAAGTTAAGCAACAACAAACCTGGTCAGTACCAAATTGGGTGACCAGTTGGGAATACCAGGTGCTATAAGCTTGGATGTGCAGTAGTATAATGGATAACAGCTTGGAATTGTAAATCAGAGAGCTAAGTTCGAATTTGATTTTGGTTTGTTATATACATTTCTGTGCAAATACCCTTGGGAAAGGTATAAATTCACCTATTCTATCTCCCCCCTCCCAACCAGATATGATCAGTAAATCATTATTCAAAAAAAAAAAAAAATTCTTATAATCTATAAATATAATCTGGCTTTTTAAATAACATGCAAAAGTTTGATAACATGTAAAAAAACAAATCAATCTAACATTAAAGATGGGAGAAAAATAAACTATTTTTATATGTTTATTATTATTCTAAGGAAGTTAACATTTTGACTCAAATGCAAAAATAAAATAAATAAATTGTGCTCTTTATGGAGAAAGTAAAAAATTGCTGAGTAGTTTATACAAAGAAAAATATTCTTTCATATCTTAAGATGTTTTTTCAGGTTCATTGACCCTGAGTTAACTCCCTGTACCAACTAAAAATTCTTATTCATTTGTTAATTCTGTTTATATCTTTGATTTCTACTAACATTTTAAGTTTGTTTGCATTAACAGTTGACATCTCTATTTTTTTATTTAATGCAAATAAAGCTTCATGTTGCAATTAAATATCTTGAATTAATTTCATATAGAAAGATCAAATTCATAATATATATATTTTTTTTTATAGAAATTATCTAAATTTAAAATCAATAATAAATGGTAATTACTTCATATTTATTAAGCAAATTTTTTCTTAGCTATAATAGGAATTAAACAATTATATTCAAACAACAGTATTTGTTAGATGAATCTACTATCTTCTGATTTACATTCTAAGTTACTAATTGATAACTAACTTGTGGCTGAACAAAATTTGCTTTCAAGATTATATTCATTGTAGTTGTTTCCAGATTATATTCAGTGAAATACAGTCAGATCTAATAAACCCTGACTCCGTAAGCGTAATATTTTTGCTACTGATTCACCTTTGTAGAATTGCTTATTATGATTTGGTTTCTTTCATTTCAAAGTTCAGTCTGACAATAACTATTCATTTATCAGGATAATAGTTGTTTTATCTTACTGCCTGCTCATACTGTTCATCATAATACTGTCTGTTATAATATGTAAATTTATAAGTCACATGAGTTCACATTTCTTATAAATAGTAACAGGATCAAATCCAGTGGCCATCAATTGACCTAAACAGTGCTGTCAAAAGTTTGCAAAAGATCTTTTTATTTTGTAGTTGTACTTGACAAGTAGTTGAGTGAAACTTAAATTTTATTTCAAGTCTCTATCAGATTATCTAACTTCTAACACTGTCACTAAATGATAATGGCACATGTAACTTCCTTCTAGTTGTGGTTAGCATTTATAATATTTATCTATGTAAAATACACTCTTTATTGTACATATAGAAACCATGCATTTATTTTTACTGATACCATTTTTTTAATATATCTATATCTAAAGACAATGTTGTTTTTTTTTGTTTATTTTTTTATTTGTTTTTTTTTTTTTTTTTGTTTTTTGTTTTTTTTAATCAGAATCACTCCAAGCAAGGCAGTAATGCCACTAAAACACAAGGGGTTGAAGGGTGTGGAAGAAACATTGATGATGAGCAAAAAGAGAGGATAGTAATCAGGTGGACAGTAGATAGTGATTGACATTGCATTTAAATTTTTGCAGATTAAAGTTGGCTGGAGCAGAAGGGAGTTCCACAAGCAAGAAGTGTGAGAGAAGAAACTGTTAGCATAGAAGTTTTCAGTTACATCTAGCCAGCTCAACTCTTAATTGATGAGACCTTGATGCCAGTCTAGTGCTGTGCTTAAATTCAAAAATTCTAGATACCATAGTGAAGAGCTCATCCAAACAATTACCATGAAAGTATTTATAGAAAAGGCATAGAGAGGAAACATTACAGCAGTGGGAAAATGACTGGAGCTAATCTGTCAGATCAGGACCAATAATATTGCAGATTTTTCTTTGGATCTTATCATGGAGCTCAAGGTAAATAGCAGGGGCACCAGACTATGTAGCATCAGTATTCTAAACATGGGTAAATGGTAGACTTATAGATATGTAAGATAGATTCTGGAGAGAAAAATTGTCTGGCTCAACTGACTTTTTTAGTGGCTGACCTAGTAATGGATTCAATAGAGTCTTTCCACTTCTTATCAGCATTATAACATGACCCCTAGAAGATGCAACAAGTCACTTTCCTGGAGGATAGCATCAGTCATGCTGATGGAAGGCAGCAAGTGGTCTCAGTTGATTAATGGAGAGAAGTTTAGTTTTGGAGGCATTAAAATTAACAAGCTACCTTTTTCCCCAGTTAACTACAGATTTGAGATTGTGTACAATTCAGTATACAAGCCCAAATAAAAGCTAGAATTTCAAATGCTGATTTTCTTGTCAGGCAGGCTTTTTCCACTTGAAGGAATTATGACAAAATCTTCTCCACCACCATGCTGTACAAAGTTTAGTAAATAAATCCTTTTCTTCACCAATATCCAATATTTAACATACTGTATGAAATAAGTACTTTTGTGTCTTGTATATTCATAGAACATTGGGAATTACAATTAAGTTATTCTCATCTGTGTAACTAATTTTCATATCAAATTAAAATAAAAAAAAAAGAAACATTTCTGATTTTCTTATTACATACAAGTATTTCTGTTAAACTTTGTATAACTTCTGTACTTAAGTTTTCAGCATTTATTGTTTATATTTTCAATTTTGTTATTTCAGTCTATGCAAGATGGTGGCAACAAGAACTTAAACTATGAAGTTGAACTTGTCTATCCCAAAGGCCAATGGGTATGAACTGTCTGTCCTCCATGATGTAGCTGTTGCATGAGCCTGTGGCTGCCATCATAACTGAACAATTGTTGATTGTACTACTACTACTACTACTACCACCACCACCACTACTACTGCTGCTATTCTCTCTTACTTTTGTCACTGTCATTGTGTCATCAGTCATATTGACCATGAACTGTCCAGTTATTTTTTAGCACACTATGCATGAACTACAGTCACTGCCAAATTATCAATCCCATTTAGTATTTGCTTTTTCTTCCAACCTATATTTTACTTTCTCTTATATATCTGCTGACTATGAACGTTTTTGCTTGCCTATCCCAGCATGTTTTAGGATTTCTCTCCTACACACAACTTGCTATTTGATTTTAAACTAAGCATCAATCCTGCTAAAGCAAAATTTATGTTCTAACAACCCAGCTGCTTTTCAAAGTTCTTATATACGAAGCATTATCTCTTGTCAGAAAAATTTCAATTCTGAAATTATAAAATATGTGCACACTTAAGAGAAATTGTAAGTTAAATAACTTAACATTCTGTATTAGGACTAAGAGATATATATATATATATATATATATATATATATATATATATATATATGAGAGAGAGAGATATTTAAAGCTGTTATAAATCTTTTTCCAAAGGAACAAAAACAGTTTTTTAGACAAATGCTGAAAGTTTCCAAAATACTTTAAACACACCCCTGTCCCAAGCAAACACTTTATCCTTATGTTGCTACTTACCAAATTACATGTATTCCTACTACTACTACTACCCATTTCATTATCACCATTATTATTGCTAATACTTTTACTAGTTTTTGTTTACTCCTCATTACCAGCATGCTGCCTATTGTTAATGTGTTGTTTTGCGACTTCTCAGCTTGCACAGGATAATGTAGTAATTCTAAGGGATGTAACTAGTATTCATTGTGCATGACCATATCTATTAATACAATGATGCATAATTAAAAAAAAAAACTTCCATGTTCTATATTTTCTATCAAATCATTATTTTAAAAAAAGGGTATTTTCTGCTTCATGAAATTATCTTATTTATGGTAAAGCAAATTATTATTTTGTGTGTTTGTGTTGCAATGAAATTATACGTCTTGTAATATTTCTTAATTTATTAGAACTATAAAGTTTGATTTATAATAAAAATCTCAGTTAATTTGGATTTATGCATGTATAAATAACTTTAATAAACTCTGCTGTATTTCATGGAGAATACTTTCATAGCTAATTAATATTTTTGAGTATCTATTATTTACATACATTAAAATTACCTTTTGTCAGTTATGTGTTAATTTTTAAATTATAGTATCTAAATAGATTTTTTATTTCATTGATGTAAATGAAAACATTTTCAGTCAGTTAAACTAATGAATATAACACTATTATTAATTGGTGACGTAAATTCTTTCATAAACTTTAGTAGAATATTTCATCAGTTAACTCAGTAACAATTTGTACTTAAAATATTATAACATGCTTATTTTATACTAAAAAAAAATCTGGTTGAAGGCTAAAATGAATAAACTGCTTAAATTTCACATCTACCTCTAAATTAAATTTTATTATGATAATTTTGGCTTCTGCATTGTCAAAATATTATTAATCAAGAATAATAAAGCTTATTCACCACAAATTTAAAATAGAAAAATACTTATATTCTAAAATGTTCTAGCTGTAAATATTTAACCTGTGGGGAGTCTAGATTATGCTTAGTTTCATTAAAATTTCAATCCTCTCTATCTGTAAGGTCTTCAACTTGAAATGCAATTGATATTAATATAATTATTTCAAGTATTCATAAGTAGCCTAAAACGTTAGTTGTTTATAATTATTGCACTTTTTTTATCTGCAGATACATTTACCTGTGACATGTAAATTAAGAATTAGTGTATTGTGTTTTAAAATACTTGATATCAGTATTTTATCTCAGATGTCACATGTATATTAATATATCCAGAATTACTCAGTATAGTCTCTATTAACTGTCTTATTCATATAATACAAGTATTACCATTTAAACTTTTGAAATATTTCATTGCTTTAAGTGTTTTTTAATGATTATATAATTTTAAGGGATAGAATGCTTGTTTTGCTAAGGTATATTTTTATAGAGAAAAGAATTTATATTTATACTATTTTGCTGTTTAAATAAAAATAAACCTGGTTTGCATAAAGAAAATATTGAATGCTAATTTTACCAAATAAATGCTTTAAAATTAAGTTTTTGTAATTTGGTATTTAGTCAATTTTAATTAAAATTGGTTAAATAAAAATTCAGTATTACAATATTTTTGCAGTATATTTGACATTATGTAATGGATGTAACAAACATTTCAAATTTATTAACCATAGAAATTCTACTGATGAAGAAATTTTATGAATCTTTAATGTTAAGAGATTTTACTAAAATTGTAATGTTAATATTCTCAACTGATATAATAAACAATTTCTTCAAAATAAAAAAAAACTCAGTTACAATACTATTATATGAAAACTATATTTAAAATTTATGGTTTATATTAGGAAAGGATGTGATGCTTTTTAAAAAAGATGTTTTTCTGCTTAAAGACAACATTGAAATGCACATACACAAATGTTTATATTCAATGCATAATAAACATTGGCTCTTATTATTTACTAAGTAGGATTTTTTTGTTAGGCAAACAATCTCTTTGGTTCTATATGCATAACTGCTACACACTCTTCCATAAAATTATACACATTAAGATATTTTCTAATACTTGTATAGAATTGTACCATGGTCAAATCAATATTTTGAATCGTAATAGTCTTTTATGTACATTTGTCTAATCATTTTCTTATCTCAATCTTAATTTAGTTTCCTTATTTTGTTTTTTACAAATGGATGTATTCTTCCTTTTTCAATTTACAATATCAAATAAAAGTTTTTTTTAAAAACTTAAATTTTGTTTCTAAAATTGTCACTAATACAAAATACTAACATATATAGGACATTTTTAATATAATTGAAATAATATTTCTGTTTCTGGCCAAATGTTTTAAAGTAGATTGTATTTCAAATCATGTTTGTCAGTTTTTGTCTGACATTTTTATTTTAAAGACAGTTCATATATAGAGCAAATGTACTTTACATGATTTGTAAAAAATATTTTCTGATGCAATTTAGTTATTAAACAACCACAAATAATTATAAGATTGTGTAGCAACAAAATGATTTTGTTTTAGTAATTTTCCTTTTATAATTTGCTGGCCAGCCAGAGATAGAAATTTCTGTAGTTATATTCAGAAAATGTTACAATATATAGTCTGGAATGGTTTCTCTATAATTCAATTTTTACTTCTCAGCATATATTATTATTCTTGACCTCTCTTTGTTTAAGTATGGGTTAAAAATGTATTTTTTTTAATTTTAATTATGAAGGAGTATTTTGTGTTCAGAAAATCTCAATTACACAGCAATGCAATTGAGATATTCTCTACACAGAACACTAAAAAATCATTTGAAAAATGAATCCTTAAATATTAAAAAGTTGTAATCATAATTTTTATTCAATGAATATTTGAAAAAGAGAAAGTAATAAAACAAATATAAAGTTTGTATTCTGAACATTTTTCTTTAATTTAAGCAAGGCCTACATTAAAATGACCCTTGCTTGAATATTTTAAAAACTCTAAATTAGAATAAGATGAAAGATAAATACAATATGAAGGAAGATTTCTGTATCTGTTTGTCTAAAAATTTACTGAACCTTGATCTTCCTGTTATTTGGGTGTTTACTATTTAATTAGATTACTTTTAGTCTTGATTTTCATATATATATATATATATATATATATATATATATAGAGAGAGAGAGAGAGAGAATTGATTATGGATAGGAATTTGACAAAATAATAGCATAAAGAACAAGTAGGAAATAGATCTTAATTTAATGTTTCACTTTATGAAAGATTTGTCTCTGCTTTTTATAATTTTTATCATGATCTCTGACAAAGCTTAAAGTGAAACATGTTAGATTAAGATCTGTTTCCTATTTGTTCTTTATCCTCATATATATATATGTATATATGTGTGTGTGAGAGACAAGTATTCTAATAAATCTTCATGTAAAATCACACGCCAGTTTTTCTAATATAGAAAATTAGTAGATACTTTAAAGGATTACAATTATCAGCATATGATTAAAGTAAAATCTACACTAAGTTTTGCCATATATGATTTTGAAGAATTAATACTGTATAAACATTAATAAATCAGATTTTTGTTTACTATTCCTTGTAGTACAAATTAAAGTAATAAACATCTGTTCTCTTTATTTATTGGTTTACTTGAAATGTGTTTTGTTTTAAGAGGACACATTTCAAGAAAACAGTTTAAGCACCATACAGTATTCAAAGCTAAAAAAAAAAAAAAAAGAAAGAAATATTCAGATTGCATGACTGTGCCTGCATTGCAAACCATTTTTGAAAAAAGCCTCAAAGCTCTTCCAAATAAAATAGGTTAATGAATTTTGTAAAAAAGCAATCAGGTAAGTGCTTACTAATGTTTTTATATAATATTCATTTGTCTCTCAAAACTCAGCTAAATGCTTTAATTTGCATGTTTCTTGTAATACTTTGCTTACAGTGCTTGATATACTCAGTTATAAACCTTGCCATAATTTTTTTTTCTTTACTTTTGGTTCTCATAGTAAATCTTCTTTATCACATCTAAAAATGAATCTGTATGAAGGAAGAAAAGAAAGATAAATTTACAAACAGTGAATAATATTCTTTTCTGTAGAATCCATTTTCTAAATGTTTCTCTGAGGCTTGTAAACAATACAATACTGCAGTTGATTCACCTCTGTTTTTGTAAGTTTGTGCTGCATCTTTGAATGTTCCTTCAATTCATCAGTGTTCAAATTATGAAATTTTCCAGAGCATTCTTTCACCTTGAGCTTAAAACCTTTTAATTTTGAAGACCATTTGTAACACATGCTTGCACTTACTGCATCA